TAATACCGTAGAACTAACTGTATTGATCCCGTTGGAAGTCTTTGGTTCCTCCTATGCTGCTCTGTTCCCCTGCTGTGCTGTATTGAGCCCTCGTGGTTCAGAGCAGGATATAGGGATGGATAGATCAGAGGAGGATAGGAATGGATGGATGATGCTGGGAGCCCAAACTGTGAGGACAGAAACCACGCCGGAACAAATCCACTGTTGCTGTGGCAACCTTCTCCAACACCGGAGAGGATAACTCCAGAGCTGTACCGAACTCAACGAGCGTCAACAGTGTGTGTGTGTGTGTGTATGTGTGTGTGTGTGTGTGTGTGTGTGTGTGTGTGTGTGTGTGTGTGTGTGTACGTATGTGTGAGTGTGTTTGTGTGTGCATGTGTGTGTGTGCGTTTGTGCTCCCTCAAGCTCTGCACACTAACAAAAACACATACACCTTGCCACACGTGTCAAATATTTCCAGCTGGGTGAGGAAAAGTAAACCAACCTAAAGGACTTCAATTATTGTAGACGAATAAACAGCAGGTGTATTGATTAACTGAATTTCTGTATTGTTAATGTTTCTTTTAGGGGATTCACTGTGAGCGTCAGCACAGTATATTGTTCAACTCCCTTTTTCCCCTCGATCCCATTTCATCACATCACATCCTCTGGGAAATATCCCACCATTTATTACCAGCAGATGAGCCAGGTGTGTCTTTCTTGGCTGTACACTTTCTCTATGACTGTATCTATGTGTATAAATGAGGAAGTTAGATTGCCCTTGTGTTGTGGTTAGAATGTCTGAGATCCTCTCTACTACTTATCTTCTTCCTTTCAACAGAGTTGTCCTCATTACATTTACATTTTAGTCATTTAGCAGACGCTCTTAGATGCAAAAGCAATACAAACACTCTCCTCAGAGACAGATGATGCATCTCTCTGTTCAAACTGGACCCAGGGGTAGAAAGGGGTAACATAGTAAATGTAAATCCGAGATACTCTAATTAGTATGATACGTTACGTTTCGTATGGTATGTATTGATTTGTGGATGTCCATCATCCATTTCGTATGATATGTTATGAATTACAATTCGTATGCTATGTTACAAATTACAATTCATACAATATGTTCTGAATTAAAAAATGTATGATATGTTACGAATTTCAATTTGCTGTGGCTAACGTTAGCTAGGTGGCTAGGTATCTAATGCTAATGTCAGCTAGGTGGCTTACATTAGCTAGGCTAGGGGTTAGGGTTAAGGATAGGGTTAAGGTTAAGGTTAGGAGTTAAGTTAAAGGATTAAGGCTATGGGAAGGGGTGGCTGACATGCTAAGTAGTTGCAAAGTACCTAAAGTGGTCTGTGATGAGATTTGAACATGCAACCTTTAGGTTGCCAGACTTTTGCGTTATACGCCCACCCATCCACCCTGACCAATAACCCTACTTTCGTTTTTGCCTTAAGTAACCTTCTGTCTTATGTAACCATACCAAATGTAAAATATCATACTAATTTGAGTGTCCCAGAATTACGTTTACTATGTTATGTCTAGTCTATGAGACCAGGCTGCTCTGTTGACTCACACAGTTACATTATTTTACTGCCCAGTTCTGCAATAGTTGGGGAAAGAGAGTAAAGAAACAGTCTCCTCTCATCTAATAGGTCTATATAGCCCAGGGCTGGGGTTGCCTCTCGCCCACAGAGAGACGCAGTGTGCTGCAGGGCAGGTTACTTTAACTCTACTCAATCCAAGGGTGACCATCAACACTGAGATCTGCCATCAAAGCTCACTAACAAGTGGTGCGTCTTTTCAAGTAGTGATCTTCGCAGGCTTGGGGTCAATTCCATTTAGATTTAGTCCATAATCATAAGTGGCTCTTTTGAATTCTTGAGATGTTATTTCCACTAATCTTCTAAAGAGTGTGTGTGTGTGTTTGTGTGTGTGTGTGTGTGTGTGTGTGTGTGTGTGTGTGTGTGTGTGTGTGTGTGTGTGTGTGTGTGTGTGTGTGTGTGTGTGTGTGTGTGTGTGTGTGTGTGTGTGTGTGTGTGTGTGTGTGTGTGTGTGTGTGTGTGTGAGAGCGTGCATGCGTGCGTGCGTGCGTGCGTGCGTGCGTGTGTGGGGTGGCTGGGCTGGTGGCTGGTGTACCTCGGGTGACAGGGGCTGTGAAGTCTGAAGACTTACCAAGCAGAGCAGAGCAGCCCCATACCCACCCTGCATTCCCAATGACCAGGAGTCAATAGAGAACAGAGGCAAGGTGTGCCTTATCACTGTGGTTGCTGTATAATAAACACTGAGACGTTTCTGAAAGGCTGTGTGACTGTCTGGGTCTGTCTGTGCAAATCCATGATCGTATGTTTGTGGGCAAATACTTTATGTGAGCTACATATTGCTGTGTCTGATGCTAAAATCAAGTTTTGTGCATCTGTCTGTCCCCAGAGGACCAAAACTTTCTCCATCCTTTGGAGTTTATTTCCAAAGAAAACTTGACTGTATGTCTTTTGACCTACAGTATAACTTTGTTCTCAGAATTATTTTCCCTCCGTTGGCAACCCTGGCTTCTCATTTTGTAATGAAGTCCTCTTTGCTTTGTGTGGAAACAGCAGAGCAGAACTGGTGTGTGGGTCTCTATACGCTGCGAGCAGGACATCGCTCTTGGCTGGCAGAAAGGCTGTTCCATTAAAAGACTGTCAGATGAGCAGTATAATAGAGCTAAATGATTAACACCAGCCCAGGACCAATTAGATGGTTTACCACTAAGCTAATTGAATTGACACATCAAAACAATCTGCCGAGGCACAAAAGGAGGAGCAGGAAAAACACACTCCTTTCATTAGGGAAAGAGATGAACGCCTTGGACATTAACTGGATGGAAGAGGATTATTTAAGAGTATTTTAAATAATCCCATGAAATGCTTTCCCTTCTGATAGATTTCACTGGAACTCCCTAAAAACACACCACTTCGATACAGCTACAACCTGAAGTGACTATTCGTAGCAGGTTAGGTGTACATAGTCACTTTAACTCTACCTACATGTAAACACAGCAACATGTAGCTCACATCCAGGCTCTGTCATAGCCGGCCGGGACTGGGAGACCCATGGGGCGGCGCACAATTGGCCCAGCGTCATCCAGGGTAGGGGAGGGAATGGCTGGCAGGGATGTAGCTCAGTTGGTAGAGCATGGCGTTTGCAACGCCAGGGTTGTGGGTTCGATTCCCACGGGGGGCCAGTATGAAAAATGTGTGCAAAAAAAAAGAATGTATGCACTCACTAACTGTAAGTCGCTAAATGACTAAAATGTAAAATGTACATATTACCTAAATTACCTCGACTAACCGGTGCCCCCGCACATTGACTCTGTACCGGTACCCCCTTAATATAGCCTCCCTACTGTTTTTTACTGCTGCTCTTTAAATATTTGTTTTCCTTTTTCTTTTCCTTTTTTCCTTATCTATTTTTTCCTTAACACTTATTTTTCTTAAAACTGCATTGTTGGTTATGGGCTTGTAAGTAAGCATTTCACTGTTGTATTCGGTGCATGTGACAAATATTATTATTATTTTTATTTATTTTTTCGTTAACTCTAACCCTTATCTTAACCTTAACCTTATTATCCTAACCTGCTGTGTAAGTTATCCTAACCTGCTATGAAAAAGTCACTTCCCGTCATAGCTGTATCGAAGTGGCCTGTTTTTAGGGAATCTCAGATTTCACTGACCTTGATTATAAACTCTGACTAATCTGCCCCCACCCCCCTCTCTCTCTCTCTCAAACCCTGGGATATTACAACATTTTCCCCGAATGTCGCACTAATGCAATTCCACAAAATACACCACATGCACAGCAGCAGATGATCAAAACTAAAATAGCACATTATCCAAACAGGTTTTTTCATGGAAGCCTTTGTTGTATTGAAGCGGTATTTACGTCACACAAAGTCGCCATAAATTCAAAGCATACGCATAATTCACACTGCCGGACTACAAACGAGACACGAATGCAGTTAATAAACCTATAAAATAACATGTGTTTCTATGTGTGTGTGTTTGACAGGCCTATGCACAATTCACTACATAGGCATATCTGTCACAATTCAGACATAATGTATGTAAACTTAGTTTAAACTCAGTTGTCTGTATGTATCTAAATGTTGTCTATCACTAGCAGCACCATATCACCAAGTAAAACTCTGAGCATGTGTAAATGTACTTGGGGAATACATCTTCTCAGCCTAGGCTATTTTCCTATCCAGTCTCAATCCCATTGAAACCAAAAATCCTGACTCCTGTCTCCCTTTCGCATGAAAATTCCAAATTGTATTCTGTAACCAATATGTTGCATTTTCAAAGCACGTCTCTCGCCTATGCATGTCCAAGCTGTCTCGTACTTGCTGGCAATATGAGTGCTTCCGTAAATAATGTGTGCTCAGCAAACCGTATGAGAGATGTGGATATATAAAAAAAATAGTTGGTCCCTTTATGATACCTTGATATTTAAACTATTTCCACTCTTCATCTCCCCGTTATTCATGAGCTGATCTGCTATCTGTATAATGCTGAGCCCACAAACACATAACGGACTTCAGACAGCATTGTGAACTTAAAGGAGGAACTCTCACTGCCAACCTTCCGCGCGCCCTGACAACACGCCTATTACCATGACATCAAGTGAACCAAGTGACCTTCTGACAAACACATCGAATTGTTTGGCAGAATCTCTCACGGAAAGAAGGTCGGATTTTAGCTCCGACAGTCAGTGCTTTGTCAGAGCGCAGCGAGACAAGCGGAGCCGATAGACCAAACTGTTGGTTTGGTGGCCAGAAAACTACAGTATGCGCCCTCAGCAGAGAGAAGCAAACGCCTGAGCAAGCACACCCGGTGAGACGGAGCGCGAACACAATCCAGCACAGTCACCGGAATTCTCCAGCTCTAGGCTACTGGAGCGTCCTCCTGTGGGCCTCCTTTTCGTTTTTATGCGCGTCCTGCAGGGGTTGTCGACCGTTGGGTAGATCTACATCCGACATGTCAACGGTTACAGCTTCGGTGGTTGATGTTTCCAGAAATATTAATTCAACCGAAAACGGAAACCGTGGCGGCCGTAATTATACAGGTAAGCGAGATTCAATATCTATCCAAGGTGGTCATAGATGTCATGTCATTCGTGCAGTGGCTGAAATTAGAGCTTTATTGGAGGCATTATGAATTTGTTTAATTTATTTGTTAATAACCATTTATAGCTGCAAACTGTGTGTGTATACATCACAGAGTGGACCTGCCAAAATGTCATTTCGTTAGGAGAAAATGTATTCCATGACACACACACAAATAGCAACTAATTTATATGATGTACTGTATCTGTAATGCTCAATTATTTACATAGCAGCAAAACTACATCACTTTATAAAAGCGACGACTCATTTGTTTAGGCCTACAAAGTATCACATGACAACAAATACATAAAAGGAATGAAAGGTATTGAAGTCTTATAGGCTATGGCTTCAAATCAAATCAAAGTTTATTAGTCGCGTACACAGATTTGCAGATGTTGTCGCTGGTGCAGCAATAAAAAAACACAATACACCAATAGAATAGTCTATTGTCTATTCTGAGCCTGCATTGTGTATAAGGGCGAAACAATCTAAAGGGGAAGTGAGTGTGTTTCTATAGATCACATGGTCTGAGAAGCTGCAGGTGGCTTTCAGAATGGTATGTTTCTTAGTTTCACATTAACTAACACTACGGTTGTACTGAGCTATCAGATGTACAGTCTACACTTTTAAACACATACACAAATACACACACACGCATATACCCACGCGCGCGCACACATACACACGCACACACACATGCAAAAGTTACATACAATGTTATTTGATTTGATTTGATTTAAAAGTGATGCTCTGCACTGGCTGGCCTACTTCCAAGGGGGAAGCCCTTGTGTACTGAAAAAATGTTGCATAAATATGGTGTTTTCTGTGGATCTGTTCAGGCTGGTGAGGTTTCATCATGGCCTTGAAAGGCCTACTCAGCAATATGATTCACCCTACCAGCCCAGCCCAGCCCAACGGACAGAGAACTGATCTCTTTGATCAGAAATCTATGAGTCACAAACAGACTGCTGGAGAGCGCTGTCTGTCAGAAATGATGGTTTATGAATTAGCTTGCCACCCAATACTCAGTCAGCAATATAACTATCTTGCTTGCTGACTCTCTCTCTCTCTCTCTTCGCTCTCTCTCTCGCTCTCGCTCTCTCGCTCTCTCTCTCTCTCTCTCTCTCTCTCTCTCTCTCTCTCTCTCTCTCTCTCTCTCTCTCTCTCTCTCTCTCTCTCTCTCTCTCTCTCTCTCTCTCTCTCAATTAAATTCAAGGGGCTTTATTGGCATAGGAAACATGTGTTTACATTGCCAAAGCAAGTGAAATGGATAAACAAAAGTGAAATAAACAATAAAAAGTGAACAGTAAATATTACACTCACACAAGTTCCAAAATAACAGAGACATTTCAAATGTCATATTATGTCTATATACAGTGTTGTAACGATGTGCAAATAGTTAAAGTAAATAAGGGAAAATAAATAAATATAAATATGGGTTGTATTTGCGATGGTGTTTGTTCTTCACTGGTTGCCCTTTTCTTGTGGCAACAGGTCACACATCTTGCTGCTGTGATGGCACACTGTGGTTTTTCACCCAGTAGATATGGGAGTTTATCAAAATTGTATTTGTTTTCTAATTCTTTGTGGGTCTGTGTAATCTGAGAGAAAAATATGTATCTCTAATATGGTCATACATTTGGCAGGAGGTTAGAAAGTGTAGCTCAGTTTCAACCTCATTTTGTGGGCAGTGTGCACATAGCCTGTCTCCTCTTGAGAGCCAGGTCTGCCTATGGCGACCTTTCTCAATAGCAAGGCCATGCTCACTGAGTCTGTACATAGTCAAAGCTTTCCTTAATTTTGGGTCAGTCACAGTGGTCAGGTATTATGCCACTGTGTACGCTCTGTTTAGGGCCAAATAGCATTCTACTTTGCTCTGTTTTTTTGTTAATTCTTTCCAATGTGTCAAGTAATTATCTTTTTGTTTTCTCATGATTTGGTTGGGTCTAATTGTGTTGCTGTCCTGGGCCTCTGTGGGGTTGTTTGTGTTTGTGAACAGAGCCCCAGGACCAGCTTGCTTAGGGGATTCTTCTCCAGGTTCATCTCTCTGTAGGTGATGGCTTTGTTATGGAAGGTTTGGGAATCACTTCCTTTTTTGGTGGATGTAGAATTTAATTGCTTTTTTCTGGGTTTTGATAATTAGCGGGTATCGGCCTAATTCTGCTCTGCATGCATTATTTGGTGTTTTACTTTGTACACTGAGAATATTTCTCTCTCTCTCTCTCTCTCTCTCTCTCTCTCTCTCTCTCTCTCTCTCTCTCTCTCTCTCTCTCTCTCTCGCACTCTCTTTTAATTTCATCCTCTCTATCTCCCACTCTCTCTCTCTCGCTCTAGTATTCAAAGGAATACTTATACATTTTCGATTTACTAATGCTATTTCAAACTTTATCTAAATTAAAAACAACTTGGTCCTTTCCGATACCGTTGAAGAGTTCAGACATGATTTCGCCAACGTGTACGACCTCTTGTGGTGGCAAAGAGACACTACATCAATTTGTACACAATTGTAATAGGCCTAGGCTACATGATTTCACAGACAATTTTCCTCAATGACATTTCCATTATACTTGAGGTGATAAGGTGAAAATGTAAACAGAGAATGTACTATGTGTTATATTAACCAATTACAGTAGCACAGCCAGTGTAAAAACAATCGACTAAACACAGTTCACAGGATGTAACAGAGCTGTTGTGTTTATCCTACAAGCTGATACTCCAGGCTTCTTTGCCAAGTTGGCTTACTTTGAGTCATTTTCTCAAATACACTCCTGTATATTTACATTAGAGCAGTGTCATTCTGTGAAGGATCATAGTTCAGTGTGTAAAACAGAGCCTGATAACCAGCTGTTTAACATGGCCCCAGATGGGACCTGAGTTTCTGCCAAGCTAGCAGGCCTTTTGTTTAATGATTTATCATGTTTCCTGCTTTGAGACAATCAGCATTAGATACAGCAATGCTCAGGGCTGCAGATGGGGTGGTTTTTTTTTGTCACACAATGATGGGCAGCCCCCTACAGGGCTTCTATGCAGAGTGTTCTGTAATGTAATGTTCTGTACTGTAGTGTTCTGTACTGTAGTGTTCTGTAAAGTAGTGTTCTGTAATGTAGTGTTCTCTTCTGTTTACATATGGCTGGAAATACCATAGTGACCATATCCGTTCTCCCCCTCCAGGCCAGTGCACCCCAATGCCCCTGCCTGCGCTGGTGACCCAGAAGATTATCCAGGGGAATGGCACCAACGTGGGCACGGTGATCACCTTGCAGTGCCCGTCCAGACACCATCTGGTGGGGGGCAGTGAGGTGTCCTGCGTCTGGGGCAGCAACAGCACCCAGTGGTCAGGAGGTTCTCCCTGGTGTAAACGTATGTATCTATTGTTGAGTGGATACCTACCCACTGGGTACAAACTGATTGAATAAACATAATTTGTCAATGTATTGTGACGTGGAATCTAAGTGGAAAATACATTGGATTTGAAAAAAGTCATCAAATCAACTGTTGTTTTGAGGGTGAAACTTCAACCACAGGATTATGTCATCATGGTAACCAAATTTCAACATAGACACATCTTTTATAAAATATGTTGAATTTGTACCTTTAAAACAAAGTCAGATCTTCAACATTATATCCACTATCAGAAAAAAAACAGGCTGGGCAGCATCTCCTACTGGAGAATTGATCTATCTACTGCTACCATTTGGTCTCCCATCCAGGGTTTTAACCAAGCCCAGTCCTACTTAGCTATGATATTTGTCACTGACTATTACCAATGTGCTATCGTGAGAATAATAGTTGAGTTATCTTCACTTAAAAATGAAATACACTGAGTGTACAAAATATTAAGAACACATGCTCTTTCCATGACATAGACTGACCAGGTGAATCCAGGTGAAAGCTATGATCCCTTATTGATGCCACTTGTTAAGTCCACTTCAATCAGTGTTGATGAAGGGGAGGAGACAGGTTAAAGGATTTATAAACCTTGAGACAATTGAGACATGGATTGTGTATGTGTGCCATTCAGAGGGTTAATGGGCAAGAGAAAACATTTAAGTGACTTTGAACAGAGTATGGTAGTAGGTGCTAGGCGCACCGGCTTGTGTCAAGAACTGCAATGCTGCTGGGTTTTTCACGCTCAACAGTTTCCGGTGGGTATCAAGAATGGTCCACCACCCAAAGGGCATCCAGCCAACTTGACACAACTGTGGGAAGCATTGGAGTCAACATGGGCCAGCATCCCTGTGGAACACTTTCCACACCTTGTAGAGCCATGCCCCGACGAATTGGGGGGGGGTGTTCTTAATATTTTGTACACTCAGTGTAGATTCATTGTTGCTATCGAAGTCATTCCAAAGGGTAGGTTTAACGGAGCGAATGAAATGTGACCATACTTTATCACTCATATATCATCAATTATGCTATTTAGCCCTATATAGCATTTGCAAAGTCATCAACAGCTGTTGTTTCAATTCAACCCAGAATTCAACTAAACATAGACAATACAATAGGCCTAGGGTTTCAAGCTCTGGTTGATTTCAAATGGAATATTATTTTGTGATATTAAATTGTATTTGGTTGTCAATTTGGTTTAGTCCCAGCAATCAAAGGAAACAGCATCAGTACAGTGCCTGTTATGTTTGTTCTTGAAATATTCCTAGACATTCTTTTCATATTTCTTAAGCCTCTTATGTAAAGCGTATTTACATTTGATGAGGAACAGAAATCCAAATGGGAGACTGTCAGGTTTGTCCCTCTTTCACTCTGTCTGTCTGACTCTATGAGTCAGCTCTGCTGGCCAATCAATGGCTGAGAGCATGTGGAGACAGCCGTCACTTCAGTCATACATTATGGATGAGCCAGGCTCAACTCTACTGTGAAAATGAAAGTTGTCCTCTTAGGACAGTGTGTGTGTGTGTGTGTGTGTGTGTGTGTGTGTGTGTGTGTGTGTGTGTGTGTGTGGAGTAAATTAAAAGATTCAGAATGCATTGAGTGGAAAAAGTGCAGGGATTGCAAACTCCCCCAGAGCTGTGTCTGCCTGCCTGTCAGTCTCTTCATTATTCTGAAGAAGAGGAATATAGAGGAATATATTGGAGATCCCCAGCAAAACAAAATATATGTTCCTAAAACACAAAAACTGTCCAGTTGTGCGGATGATTCTACAATGTTTATTTTAGGGTGCAAAAAACAATTTGTAATTCGCTCTGGATAAGAGCGTCTGCTAAATGACGTAAATGTAAATGTAAAAAAACATTCATCTGATTTTACAAAGATGATCCTAGAACACATTTAGTCTATTCTTTAAAGGTTCCCAGAATGTGTCATTAGGTTGTGGGAACAGTCTGGTGAGAGATATGTTCCCAAAACACAAAAACTATCCAGTTCGTTAGGTTGTGGGAACATTGTGGGGATATGACAAGAGATAGGTTCCCCAAACACTAAAACTGTCCAGTTGTGCTGACATTCAGTTAATGTTTGTATCAGGGTGCACAAAACATTCCTTTGATGTTGCAGGAATGTTGGCAGAACAGCCTTTCTGAGTTCATTAAATGTTCGCAGAACATTTAATTAGGTTGTGGGAACAGTGTGGGTACATTATAATAGATAGGTTCCCAAAACACAAAATATGCTTAGTTGTGATGACAATCATACAATGTTTAAATTAGGTTGAATGAAATAAGTTCATTTTTACGACGTTCATAGCATATTTGTTTTAGGTTTAACATAATTTTCCATTGATGTTCATGCAATATACATTTTACCTTGTCTTGGAGGTCCTCAGAACATTTCAAGAACATTTAGAAACGTTATATTTAGGTTTTACCTAATATTACCACAACATTCACATTTGTAGCTCCTTAAAGCAGATTGGAATACATCCCAATTCTGTTCCTCTCCAGATTTAATGGCAATTCACATTGAGGACTGTATTGTAGGTGATATAGTGACACATGGCATTTTAATTTCATAGGACTCTTGAACAGCATTTAATCATAAACATATTTTTCAAAATTAACATGTTTACAATCTGTACATTATTTCATACAGAGGACATTTAAATAGCATGTACTCAAACAAACATAACCATATATTTTTCAGGAATCAGGAATTCCATGCTTTCTTTTTAGCCTTTTTAGACATAACTAACCCAGGGAAATACTGGTAACTGGGTTATTCACCATCACTTCACCCATCCTCTTTATATGCCCATATTTACAAGGCTATGAGTGCTGAGGATCACTTTTGCTTTTCAGGTCATGAAAGTAGGAATTTTCAGATCGTCTTTTCAGATCGTCTTAAAGTAGGAATTATATAGCATTTTTACACAATGTTACATTTTTTACAGTTAGTTTTAATTCTGAATTATTTTAAATTGAGATAAAAATGTGTGTATTGGACCTTTAAATCAATAAATGATGTTCCCACCAGACTGTTCCCACAACCTAATGAAACATTCTGGGAACCTTTTAAGAACAGACGAAAGGACACTAGTCTATTATAACTGAATGCAATACCGTGAAAAAGGCATTCAAATATATGATATAGCCATCACTTTCTGTAGGCAGATTTCATAAATAGATTGATCGATTTCTTTGTATGTTTTTCCCCTCCCTCTCCCAGCGTTGTCCCTGTCGGATGACTTTGGGTTCCGTGTGGCGGTGGTGTCCTCTATCATCAGCTGTGCCATCATCCTCCTCATGTCCATGGCCTTCATCACCTGCTGTCTGCTTGACTGTGTCAAGGAGGAGGAAAGGAAAAAGGAGGAGAGGTGAGAGGAGAGTTGGAGGGAGGATGGGAGGAGAGGTGAGAGGAGAGTTGGAGGGAGGATGGGAGGAGAGGAGAGGTGAGAGGAGAGTTGGAGGGAGGATGGGAGGAGAGGTGAGAGGAGAGTTGAAGGGAGGATGGGAGACGAGAGGTGAGAGGAGAGTTGGAGGGAGGATGAGAGGAGAGGTGAGAGGAGAGTTGGAGGGAGGATGGGAGAGGAGAGGTGAGAGGAGAGTTGGAGGGAGGATGGGAGGAGAGGTGAGAGGAGAGTTGGAGGGAGGATGGGAGGAGAGGTGAGAGGAGAGTTGGAGGGAGGAGAGGAGAGGAGGAGGAAAGAGGAGAGAGGGAGGAGAGAAGTATAAATTATGGGATGAGAGGAGAGATGAGAGGAAGAGGTAGAAGAGGTGAGAGGAGGGATGAAAGGAGAAGAGGTAAGGGAAAGAGGCAATGTGAGGAGAGGAAAATAGGAAACAGGAAAGGTGAGACAAAGCGAGAAAGATGTTAGGAGGTGAGATAAAAGATATAGAGCCATAAATTATCCCATGTGGTCAAGTAGTACACTATAGGGATTCATAAGGATATTGAGATGTACAACAGCTTTTTTGCATTGCCAGGGAGACGGATCTGTGGCACCAGCTGGAGCAAGCGGAGAAGGAGGAGAACAGGGCCTCTCGCTACGGCCACAAGGGCAGAAACAACAATAACAACACCCAGGAGAAGACACTGCCACCATCGGACCACCAGGACCCTTCAATGTGTGACCATAGGAGACCCAGCTGGTGCGGATTGTGTGTGTGTGTCTGCGTCGGTATGTCTTCTGTATGTCTGCATCTGTACGTCTGCCTTGCGAAGCTCAATGTCGTTGTCTCTGTCCTCTCCATAGGTGCCATCAGTACCCCTATGCGCTGAGTGGTCCAGCCCCAGCCTCCACCTTCGACCCAGCCCTCAACTCAGCTCCTCTCCCCTGCAGAGGCTACGACCAGCCCATTCTCCCGCACTCAGGCCTGTACCACAACCCAGATCTGCCACACAATCCTGGCCTACTTCTAAACCCCATCCCACCCCAGTATCCAGGTCCAACTCGGACCGTGGGGTACCAGAACCCAGAGGGACCCCATCGCTCAGGCTTGGCCAGGCTGTATGGAGGACAGGAGGGCAGTGTGTCCGTGATGAGCACTCCACTTCTGGAGGAGTGGAGTGCCCAGGAGCGCCCCATACGGGTCATATCCGTGTGAGGTCACAACCAGGAAGTGACTGGACATAGACCACAGGGGCATGGATAAACTGAACATCAACCAAGAAACTGGATCCAAAAGGGAGAGGACCACCTCAATGGTGACCAAGCCTATGCCATTATTAACCAGGCACCAATGACTGAATAATTAGGGGATGCTCATATCGTCCTGTTTCACTGTATGTACGTGTGAAATGGAAATGTGTTTTTTGCATATCCCACTCCCCCTGAGACACCCTCGGAGAGTAGGGTCACAGCCAGGGGATCAGCCATTATTGACAGCTACCCTGGAGCAATTAGGATTAATTGCCTTGCTCAAGGGCAGAATGACATATTTTTACCTTATCGGCTCGGGGATTCAATCCAGCAACTTTTCGGTTACTTGCCCAACACTCCTAACCGCCAGGCTACCTGCCGCCCCGAATATTGCCGGACTAAATGAACAGTTGAATGATCACTTGACCATTTGTTTACACGTTTGACATTGACCTGCGGTAGACAGTGGTGTACTGCAGTTTCACGAGGCCCCCCTCTGCAATATCCGCAAGGCCCTTCCTGCAATTCAACACATTTTACCATGGGGCAGAGAATTTGTTTCGCTGTTTTAAAGCTAATCTCATTCTATTCTACACATTTTGCCATTATGGCTGAGAGAAAATGTTGCAGATTTAAATCAAATTTCCTACAATTCTACACATTTTGCCATGGGGCAGAGAGAAAAATTTGCAGTTTTAAAGCTAATCTCATGCAATACATGGCTTATCTGGGCAAGGGTGGGGGGGGGGGGGGGGCAACCTCCAGGGTTGGGGCTGCGGGGGTGTGTGGTACACCAGTGGCGGAAGACCATTCAGGGACAAAGCAGCATTTTTAGCTTGAATCAGACATGTGCCTTAAACACAGACCCTATCCCTCTGGACACTGCCAGAAGCCGAGAGTTGTGGAGGACATTCTTTAATCCATAGGAATCACTTATTGTGTTGCTGCCTGATTTCACAGTGTTCTTCCGGGAAATGTACAGTAGTAAACATGTTCAGTTCTGAAATATCCTATATTTCTGAGCAATGAAATCTAGTAAAAATGCTTCTGGAAAGAATCCTTAAAACGTTGTACAGTATTCTGCATTTGTAGGTTTGATGCTACTGCTTTGTTGGATCCAGGGATAGCATGTGTAGGGCTAGAGTTCCCAATCCTGTTGTGTACAGTATGTGATGGTACTTCATGGTACAAATAACTGTTACATGTTATTCTGTACTATTGGAATGAAAAGGGAATTTTCTGAGACTCTTTTATTTTCCTACACCATACTGACAATGATGGTACATTGTGCAAGTTGTACAAGTCCCACTGCAGATGGATTGACAATTAATCATTTAATAAATTATATATTCTTGAACTTTTCCAATTTATGAAACATTTAGTGTCGACCCCTGTGATGTCATCAGTTAGGAATAAGATTGTAAGGGAGTTTGGCAAGGAAATAGAATCCAACCTGAATAGTAGACTACATTTGATCTCAGTCACCACCTAGTTAGGAAGAGAGGTTTGCCATTAATAAAATAACAAATTATTGAAAGACCTGGACTCAGTGGTAGACGTAACATAGTCAACGAAAATCTGTGACACTCCATTTAGTATGATATGTTACGTTTGGTATGGTATGTATTAATTTGTGGATGTCCATCATCCATTTTGTGTTATATGTTACGAATTACAATTTGTATGATATGTTACGAATAACAATTCATATGATATGTTACGAATTGCAATTTGTTGTGGCTAACGTTAGCTAGGAGGCTAATGCTAACTTTAGCTAGGAGGCTAACGTTAGCTAGGCTAGGGGTTAGGATTAAGGTTAGGGTTAGGAGTTAGGTTAAAGGGTTAAGGGAAGGGTTAGCTAACACATGCTAAGTAGTTGCAAAGTTGCTAAAGTTGTCCATGATGAGATTCAAACACGCAACCTTTTGGTTGCTAGACATTTGCATTATATAGACTTTTGCATTAAATGCCCACCCATCCACCCTTCACATACCAAACATAACATACTAATTTGAGTGTCCCAGATTTTCGTTTACTATGTCACCTCTAGTCTATGAGACCAGCCTGGTATTTTTGATTCAAGAGTCTCAATATTATACTTACCTGGGTGCCATTAAAAACAGCCTAAAGGAGAATTTCATTTTCACGAACACCATTAAATCATGGAATACTGCAAAAGCAACTTGTCATATGACAAGTAGATAATCATTCTGTGCTCCGATTGTTAGCAATCCCTCATTTCCTCCTTCATGTACAGACAGTGGTTTTAAGAATTGGTACAAAGCTGGAATTACTACATTGAATTATGTGTTTTTGATGGTTCCCTTAAGTTTTTCCTGCAACTGCAACAAGAATATAGTTTACCGGACTCACAATTTTACAGCTTCCTTCAGCTTCAAAGCTTTAACAATGAAATGTATTACATTTTACATTTACATTTTAGTCATTTAGCAGACGCTCTTATCCAGAGCGACTTACAATTAGTGAGTGCATACATCATTATCATACTATAAGGAGGGATCTGGTCTTAATAAGCTGGAAAAAACTCAAACTCCATACTATCTCCTTAAAAAATAAGAAAATAAGCTACAAATACTCTAGGCAAGGTCAACACTGATAGTAGCAAACATGCATGGCAGCAAGATTTTAGGGTGACCATCGATATTTGTGAATGGGAAGTTATTCTTACCAATGCAAAGAAAATATGTTGTTCCTATAAAACTCAAATAATATTTTATTTGTCACATTCACATGTTTAGCAGATGTTATTGCGGGTGTAGCGAAATGCTTGTGCTTCTAGCTCCGACAGTGCAGTAATATCTAACAAGTAATATCTAACAATTTCACAACATGTACCCAATACACACAAATCTAAGTAAGGAAGGGAATTAAGAATATATACATATTGACAGAGCGGCATGGACTAAGATACAGTAGAATATTATAGAATACAGTATATACATATGAGATGAGTAACGCAAGATATGTAAACATTATTAAAGTGACTAGTGTTCCATTTCTTAAAGTGGTCAGTGATTTCTAGTCTGTCTATAGGCAGCAGCCTCTAATGTGCTAGTGATGGCTATTTAACAGTCTGATGGCCTTGAGATAGAAGCTGTTTTTCAGTCTCTCGGGGACAGCTTTGATGCACCTCACCTTCTGGATGATAGCGGGGTGAACAGGCAGTAGCTCGTGTGGTTGATGTCCTTGATTATCTTTTTGGCCTTCCTGTGACATCGGGTGCTGTCGGTTTCCTGGAGGGCAGGTTAAAATTATACATAAGTTACAAACTACACCTGTTGTCAGAAGTAAATATGACCCTGCATATTCTGGGGAATGTCCCAAATGTAAGCAGCACAAATCAAATCAAATCATCAAATTACATTTGATTTGTCACATGTGCCGAATACAACAGGTATAGAGACCTTACAGTGAAATGCTTACTTACAAGCTCTTAACCAACAAAGCAGTTTTAAGAAGAAAAAAAAGTGTTAAGAAAGTATTTACTAAAATAAACTGAAGTAAAAAATTAGTAAAAAAAGAAAAAGAAAATAGAAAAAGAAAAAATAATTAAAGAGCAACAATAAAATAACAATAACGAGGCTACAGAGGGGGGAAAAAGTATTTAGTCAGCCACCAATTGTGCAAGTTCTTCCACTTAAAAAGATGAGAGAGGCATGTAATTTTCATCATAGGTACACGTCAACTATGACAGACAAAATGAGAAAAAAAAATCCAGAAAATCACATTGTAGGATTTTTAATGAATTTATTTGCAAATTATGGTGGAAAATAAGTATTTGGTCAATAACAAAAGTTTCTCAATACTTTGTTATATACCCTTTGTTGGCAATGACACAGGTCAAACGTTTTCTGTAAGTCTTCACAAGGTTTTCACACACTGTTGCTGGTATTTTGGCCCATTCCTCCATGCAGATCTCCTCTAGAGCAGTGATGTTTTGGGGCTGTCGCTGGGCAACACAGACTTTCAACTCCCTCCAAAGATTTTCTATGGGGCTGAGATCTGGAGACTGGCTAGGCCACTCTAGGACCTTGAAATGCTTCTTACGAAGCCACTCCTTCGTTGCCCGGGCGGTGTGTTTGGGATCATTGTCATGCTGAAAGACCCAGCCACGTTTCATCTTCAATGACCTTGCTGATGGAAGGAGGTTTTCACTCAAAATCTCACGATACATGGTCCCATTCATTCTTTCCTTTACACGGATCAGTCGTCCTGGTCCCTTTGCAGAAAAACAGCCCCAAAGCATGATGTTTCCCTGCCCATGCTTCACAGTAGGTATGGTGTTCTTTGGATGCAACTCAGCATTCTTTGTCCTCCAAACACGACGAGTTGAGTTTTTACCAAAAAGTTCTATTTTGGTTTCATCTGACCATATGACATTCTCCCAATCCTCTTCTGGATCATCCAAATGCACTCTAGCAAACTTCAGACGGGCCTGGACATGTACTGGCTTAAGCAGGGGGACACGTCTTGCACTGCAGGATTTGAGTCCCTGGCGGCGTAGTATGTTACTGATGGTAGGCTTTGTTACTTTGGTCCCAGCTCTCTGCAGGTCATTCACTAGGTCCCCCCGTGTGGTTCTGGGATTTTTGCTCACCGTTCTTGTGATCATTTTGACCCCACGGGGTGAGATCTTGCGTGGAGCCCCAGATCGAGGGAGATTATCAGTGGTCTCGTATGTCTTCCATTTCCTAATAATTGCTCCCACAGTTGATTTCTTCAAACCAAGCTGCTTACCTATTGCAGATTCAGTCTTCCCAGCCTGGTGCAGGTCTACAATTTTGTTTCTGGTGTCCTTTGACAGCTCTTTGGTCTTGGCCATAGTGGAGTTTGGAGTGTGACTGTTTGAGGTTGTGGACAGGTGTCTTTTATACTGATAACAAGTTCAAACAGGTGCCATTAATACAGGTAACGAGTGGAGGACAGAGGAGCCTCTTAAAGAAGAAGTTACAGCTCTGTGAGAGCCAGAAATCTTGCTTGTTTGTAGGTGACCAAATACTTATTTTCCACCATAATTTGCAAATAAATTCATTAAAAATCCTACAATGTGATTTTCTGGATTTTCTTTTCTACATTTGTCTGTCATAGTTGACGTGTACCTATGATGAAAATTACAGGCCTCTCTCATCTTTTTAAGTGGGAGAACTTGCACAAATGGTGGCTGACTAAATAATTTTTTTCCCCACTTCAATAATGGTTAGATGACATGAAACCCAAAAATGTGTGATGGCTCAGAAACCTGTTGTGGTTGTTTCATCTGGAAAGACTGACTAATGTCCTCCAGGGGAAACCTGACAAATGTTTTCATATCTGTAATTCAGTCTATAGGAGATGAGTGTGCAAATGTACTGTTGAAGGGGATAACCCACCAAGCATTTGGATGTTGCTCTAATAATTTGTTTGGGAGGGGAATAGAGAGAGCGTTGGGAAAGGGATGTACATATTTATCATGGAAGAACAATTGTCAAAGAGTTATGTAGAATGCAGTGACATTTTTAAATGTATTCACCTATTCGATCTTGTTTTATTCTTGGAAGACATGGACATCGCTGTATATACAGTCGTGGTCAAAAGTTTTGAGAATGACACAAGTATTGGTCTTCACAAAGTTCGCTGCTCTCCTTGAAGTTCTTGATGATCCGATAAATGGATGATTTAGGTGCAATCTTACTAGCAGCAATATCCTTGCCTGTGAAGCCCTTTTTAAGCAAAGCAATGATGACGGCACGTGTTTCCTTGCAGTTAACCATGGTTAACAGAGGAAGAACAATGATTTCAAGTACCACCCTCCTTTTAAAGCTTCCAGTCTGTTATTCTAACTCAATCAGCATGACAGAGTGATCTCCAGTTTTGTCCTCGTCAACACTCTCACCTGTGTTAACGAGAGAATCACTGACATGATGGCAGCTGGTCCTTTTGTGGCAGGGCTGAAATGCAGTGGAAATGTTTTTTAGGGATTAAGTTAATTTTCATGGCAAAGAGGGACTTCATGACATTCTGTAGTATCACTCTTCATGACATTCTGGAGTATATGCAAATTGCCATCATCAAAGCTGAGGCAGCAGACTTTGTGAAAATTAGTATTTGTTTCATTCTCAAAACTTTTGACCATGACTGAACAAAAATATAAACGCAACATGTAAAGTGTTGGTCCCATGTTTCATGAGCTAAAATAAAAGATCCCAGAAATATTTAATACGCACAAAAAGCTTATATCGCTCAAATTTTGTGCACACATTTGTTTACATCCCTGTTAGTGAGCATTTCTCCTTTGCCAAAAAATCCATCCACCTGGCAGGTGTGGCATATCAATACGCTGATTAAACAGCATGATCATTACACTGGTGCACCTTGTGCTGGGGACAATAAAAGGCCATTCTAAAATGTGCAGTTTTGCCACACAACACAATGCCACAGATGTATTAAGTTTTGAGGGAGTGTGCAATTGGCATGCTGACTGCAGGAACACCCACTAGAGCTGTTGCCAGAGAATTGAATGATCATTTCTCTACCATAAGCTGCCTCCAACGTCGTTTTAGAGAATTCTTCCATGACCTGCATACTCACCAGACATGTCACCCATTGAGCATGTTTGGGATGCTCTGGATTGACATGTATGACAGCGTGTTCCAGTTCCCGCCAATGTCCAGCAACTTCGCACAGCCATTGAAGAGGAGTGGGACAACATTCCACAGGCCCCAATCAACAGCCTGATCAACTCTAAGCAAAGGAGATGTGTCACGCTGCATGCGGCAAATGGTAGACACACCAGATACAGACTGGTTGTTCTGATCCACACCCCTACCTTATTTTTTAAGTTATCTGTGACCACCAAATGCATATCTGTATTCCCAGTCATGTGAAATCCATAGATTAGGGCCTAATGAATTTATTTCAATTTACTGATTTCCTTATATGAACTTTAACTCAGTAAAATCTTTGAAATTGTTGCATGTTGCATTTACATGTTGCATTTACATTATTGTTCAGTATATATTTTTAATATACTGTATACTCATGTTATAGATATATTCATGTTATTATTTAAAATGTTCCATACAGACAAAACCAACAATAACACACACACTACATATATATATATATATATATATATATATATATATATATATATATATATATATATATATATATATATATATGTAGTGTGTGTGTTATTGTTGGTTTTGTCTGTATGGAACATTTTAAATAATAACATGAATATATCTATAACATGAGTATACAGTATATTAAAAATATATACTGAACAATAATGTAAATGCAACATGTAAATGCAACATGCAACAATTTCAAAGATTTTACTGAGTTAAAGTTCATATAAGGAAATCAGTAAATTGAAATAAATTCATTAGGCCCTAATCTATGGATTTCACATGACTGGGAATACAGATATGCATTTGGTGGTCACAGATAACTTAAAAAATAAGGTAGGGGTGTGGATCAGAACAACCAGTCTGTATCTGGTGTGTCTACCATTTGCCGCATGCAGCGTGACACATCTCCTTTGCTTAGAGTTGATCAGGCTGTTGATTGGGGCCTGTGGAATGTTGTCCCACTCCTCTTCAATGGCTGTGCGAAGTTGCTGGACATTGGCGGGAACTGGAACACGCTGTCATACATGTCAATCCAGAGCATCCCAAACATGCTCAATGGGTGACATGTCTGGTGAGTATGCAGGTCATGGAAGAATTCTCTAAAACGACGTTGGAGGCAGCTTATGGTAGAGAAATGATCATTCAATTCTCTGGCAACAGCTCTAGTGGGTGTTCCTGCAGTCAGCATGCCAATTGCCATCAGTACCCCTATGCGCTGAGTGGTCCAGCCCCAGCCTCCACCTTCGACCCAGCCCTCAACTCAGCTCCTCTCCCCTGCAGAGGCTACGACCAGCCCATTCTCCCGCACTCAGGCCTGTACCACAACCCAGATCTGCCACACAATCCTGGCCTACTTCTAAACCCCATCCCACCCCAGTATCCAGGTCCAACTCGGACCGTGGGGTACCAGAACCCAGAGGGACCCCATCGCTCAGGCTTGGCCAGGCTGTATGGAGGACAGGAGGGCAGTGTGTCCGTGATGAGCACTCCACTTCTGGAGGAGTGGAGTGCCCAGGAGCGCCCCATACGGGTCATATCCGTGTGAGGTCACAACCAGGAAGTGACTGGACATAGACCACAGGGGCATGGATAAACTGAACATCAACCAAGAAACTGGATCCAAAAGGGAGAGGACCACCTCAATGGTGACCAAGCCTATGCCATTATTAACCAGGCACCAATGACTGAATAATTAGGGGATGCTCATATCGTCCTGTTTCACTGTATGTACGTGTGAAATGGAAATGTGTTTTTTGCATATCCCACTCCCCCTGAGACACCCTCGGAGAGTAGGGTCACAGCCAGGGGATCAGCCATTATTGACAGCTACCCTGGAGCAATTAGGATTAATTGCCTTGCTCAAGGGCAGAATGACATATTTTTACCTTATCGGCTCGGGGATTCAATCCAGCAACTTTTCGGTTACTTGCCCAACACTCCTAACCGCCAGGCTACCTGCCGCCCCGAATATTGCCGGACTAAATGAACAGTTGAATGATCACTTGACCATTTGTTTACACGTTTGACATTGACCTGCGGTAGACAGTGGTGTACTGCAGTTTCACGAGGCCCCCCTCTGCAATATCCGCAAGGCCCTTCCTGCAATTCAACACATTTTACCATGGGGCAGAGAATTTGTTTCGCTGTTTTAAAGCTAATCTCATTCTATTCTACACATTTTGCCATTATGGCTGAGAGAAAATGTTGCAGATTTAAATCAAATTTCCTACAATTCTACACATTTTGCCATGGGGCAGAGAGAAAAATTTGCAGTTTTAAAGCTAATCTCATGCAATACATGGCTTATCTGGGCAAGGGTGGGGGGGGGGGGGGGGGGGGGGCAACCTCCAGGGTTGGGGCTGCGGGGGTGTGTGGTACACCAGTGGCGGAAGACCATTCAGTGACAAAGCAGCATTTTTAGCTTGAATCAGACATGTGCCTTAAACACAGACCCTATCCCTCTGGACACTGCCAGAAGCCGAGAGTTGTGGAGGACATTCTTTAATCCATAGGAATCACTTATTGTGTTGCTGCCTGATTTCACAGTGTTCTTCCGGGAAATGTACAGTAGTAAACATGTTCAGTTCTGAAATATCCTATATTTCTGAGCAATGAAATCTAGTAAAAATGCTTCTGGAAAGAATCCTTAAAACGTTGTACAGTATTCTGCATTTGTAGGTTTGATGCTACTGCTTTGTTGGATCCAGGGATAGCATGTGTAGGGCTAGAGTTCCCAATCCTGTTGTGTACAGTATGTGATGGTACTTCATGGTACAAATAACTGTTACATGTTATTCTGTACTATTGGAATGAAAAGGGAATTTTCTGAGACTCTTTTATTTTCCTACACCATACTGACAATGATGGTACATTGTGCAAGTTGTACAAGTCCCACTGCAGATGGATTGACAATTAATCATTTAATAAATTATATATTCTTGAACTTTTCCAATTTATGAAACATTTAGTGTCGACCCCTGTGATGTCATCAGTTAGGAATAAGATTGTAAGGGAGTTTGGCAAGGAAATAGAATCCAACCTGAATAGTAGACTACATTTGATCTCAGTCACCACCTAGTTAGGAAGAGAGGTTTGCCATTAATAAAATAACAAATTATTGAAAAGACCTGGACTCAGTGGTAGACGTAACATAGTCAACGAAAATCTGTGACACTCCATTTAGTATGATATGTTACGTTTGGTATGGTATGTATTAATTTGTGGATGTCCATCATCCATTTTGTGTTATATGTTACGAATTACAATTTGTATGATATGTTACGAATAACAATTCATATGATATGTTACGAATTGCAATTTGTTGTGGCTAACGTTAGCTAGGAGGCTAATGCTAACTTTAGCTAGGAGGCTAACGTTAGCTAGGCTAGGGGTTAGGATTAAGGTTAGGGTTAGGAGTTAGGTTAAAGGGTTAAGGGAAGGGTTAGCTAACACATGCTAAGTAGTTGCAAAGTTGCTAAAGTTGTCCATGATGAGATTCAAACACGCAACCTTTTGGTTGCTAGACATTTGCATTATATAGACTTTTGCATTAAATGCCCACCCATCCACCCTTCACATACCAAACATAACATACTAATTTGAGTGTCCCAGATTTTCGTTTACTATGTCACCTCTAGTCTATGAGACCAGCCTGGTATTTTTGATTCAAGAGTCTCAATATTATACTTACCTGGGTGCCATTAAAAACAGCCTAAAGGAGAATTTCATTTTCACGAACACCATTAAATCATGGAATACTGCAAAAGCAACTTGTCATATGACAAGTAGATAATCATTCTGTGCTCCGATTGTTAGCAATCCCTCATTTCCTCCTTCATGTACAGACAGTGGTTTTAAGAATTGGTACAAAGCTGGAATTACTACATTGAATTATGTGTTTTTGATGGTTCCCTTAAGTTTTTCCTGCAACTGCAACAAGAATATAGTTTACCGGACTCACAATTTTACAGCTTCCTTCAGCTTCAAAGCTTTAACAATGAAATGTATTACATTTTACATTTACATTTTAGTCATTTAGCAGACGCTCTTATCCAGAGCGACTTACAATTAGTGAGTGCATACATCATTATCATACTATAAGGAGGGATCTGGTCTTAATAAGCTGGAAAAACTCAAACTCCATACTATCTCCTTAAAAAATAAGAAAATAAGCTACAAATACTCTAGGCAAGGTCAACACTGATAGTAGCAAACATGCATGGCAGCAAGATTTTAGGGTGACCATCGATATTTGTGAATGGGAAGTTATTCTTACCAATGCAAAGAAAATATGTTGTTCCTATAAAACTCAAATAATATTTTATTTGTCACATTCACATGTTTAGCAGATGTTATTGCGGGTGTAGCGAAATGCTTGTGCTTCTAGCTCCGACAGTGCAGTAATATCTAACAAGTAATATCTAACAATTTCACAACATGTACCCAATACACACAAATCTAAGTAAGGAAGGGAATTAAGAATATATACATATTGACAGAGCGGCATGGACTAAGATACAGTAGAATATTATAGAATACAGTATATACATATGAGATGAGTAACGCAAGATATGTAAACATTATTAAAGTGACTAGTGTTCCATTTCTTAAAGTGGTCAGTGATTTCTAGTCTGTCTATAGGCAGCAGCCTCTAATGTGCTAGTGATGGCTATTTAACAGTCTGATGGCCTTGAGATAGAAGCTGTTTTTCAGTCTCTCGGGGACAGCTTTGATGCACCTCACCTTCTGGATGATAGCGGGGTGAACAGGCAGTAGCTCGTGTGGTTGATGTCCTTGATTATCTTTTTGGCCTTCCTGTGACATCGGGTGCTGTCGGTTTCCTGGAGGGCAGGTTAAAATTATACATAAGTTACAAACTACACCTGTTGTCAGAAGTAAATATGACCCTGCATATTCTGGGGAATGTCCCAAATGTAAGCAGCACAAATCAAATCAAATCATCAAATTACATTTGATTTGTCACATGTGCCGAATTCAACAGGTATAGAGACCTTACAGTGAAATGCTTACTTACAAGCTCTTAACCAACAAAGCAGTTTTAAGAAGAAAAAAAGTGTTAAGAAAGTATTTACTAAAATAAACTGAAGTAAAAAATTAGTAAAAAAAGAAAAAGAAAATAGAAAAAGAAAAAATAATTAAAGAGCAACAATAAAATAACAATAACGAGGCTACAGAGGGGGGAAAAAGTATTTAGTCAGCCACCAATTGTGCAAGTTCTTCCACTTAAAAAGATGAGAGAGGCATGTAATTTTCATCATAGGTACACGTCAACTATGACAGACAAAATGAGAAAAAAAAATCCAGAAAATCACATTGTAGGATTTTTAATGAATTTATTTGCAAATTATGGTGGAAAATAAGTATTTGGTCAATAACAAAAGTTTCTCAATACTTTGTTATATACCCTTTGTTGGCAATGACACAGGTCAAACGTTTTCTGTAAGTCTTCACAAGGTTTTCACACACTGTTGCTGGTATTTTGGCCCATTCCTCCATGCAGATCTCCTCTAGAGCAGTGATGTTTTGGGGCTGTCGCTGGGCAACACAGACTTTCAACTCCCTCCAAAGATTTTCTATGGGGCTGAGATCTGGAGACTGGCTAGGCCACTCTAGGACCTTGAAATGCTTCTTACGAAGCCACTCCTTCGTTGCCCGGGCGGTGTGTTTGGGATCATTGTCATGCTGAAAGACCCAGCCACGTTTCATCTTCAATGACCTTGCTGATGGAAGGAGGTTTTCACTCAAAATCTCACGATACATGGTCCCATTCATTCTTTCCTTTACACGGATCAGTCGTCCTGGTCCCTTTGCAGAAAAACAGCCCCAAAGCATGATGTTTCCCTGCCCATGCTTCACAGTAGGTATGGTGTTCTTTGGATGCAACTCAGCATTCTTTGTCCTCCAAACACGACGAGTTGAGTTTTTACCAAAAAGTTCTATTTTGGTTTCATCTGACCATATGACATTCTCCCAATCCTCTTCTGGATCATCCAAATGCACTCTAGCAAACTTCAGACGGGCCTGGACATGTACTGGCTTAAGCAGGGGTACACGTCTTGCACTGCAGGATTTGAGTCCCTGGCGGCGTAGTATGTTACTGATGGTAGGCTTTGTTACTTTGGTCCCAGCTCTCTGCAGGTCATTCACTAGGTCCCCCCGTGTGGTTCTGGGATTTTTGCTCACCGTTCTTGTGATCATTTTGACCCCACGGGGTGAGATCTTGCGTGGAGCCCCAGATCGAGGGAGATTATCAGTGGTCTCGTATGTCTTCCATTTCCTAATAATTGCTCCCACAGTTGATTTCTTCAAACCAAGCTGCTTACCTATTGCAGATTCAGTCTTCCCAGCCTGGTGCAGGTCTACAATTTTGTTTCTGGTGTCCTTTGACAGCTCTTTGGTCTTGGCCATAGTGGAGTTTGGAGTGTGACTGTTTGAGGTTGTGGACAGGTGTCTTTTATACTGATAACAAGTTCAAACAGGTGCCATTAATACAGGTAACGAGTGGAGGACAGAGGAGCCTCTTAA